TACATTCATAAACAAAAAGGTTTCGTAGCAAGGCATGTGCAATCTATTGCGAGCAAGCGATGAATTCAGTACAGTTCCAGGAAGCTTAAAACGCTATAACCACAAGCCTACAGTTCTGCTTATTGTCAATGGTCGTGCGAGCAGCAATAGAATATCAAATCCGATACATTGAAAAAGGCTTCCGAGGATGATACAGTATGCTTAAAATGATCAAACATACACAGGATGTACCTGTTGTCGATCGGAAATGCCGATAAATGTTCAAGTTTGTCGCACACGCACACAGTATGCTCATTGTGATCAGGGATGTACATCGCACGCCAACAGTGATCGAAATCCATAAATACGTGTATACTGGATCGAAAGACCCAAAACGAAGAGGAAGAATGCACAGAGTACGCCAAATGAGGGCAACAAAGGCATATTCCGATTGAACATACTCCGACGCTAACTAGCAGCAGACGGAACCGTTACAACTTACCTCGAAAGTCGACTGAGCATTGTGCTCTTGCATTTTTAATCACTCTCGTTCTGATTTTCTCCGTTTCCGATTTGGAGAGCTGAATTACGCCATAATCGATGGTGTCTGTGAACAAGTTCAATTGGAATAAATTTGGTGTGAACGGAAAACAACGTGCCACTGATTGATATTGAATACACACTCCGACCACTTGAAAATAAGCCCATCCCACGAGGAGGAAAGATTTGTGAAGCTGTGTTTGTGCGTGAGGCGCGTGTTTACATGCACTTGTGCATGTATATAAGTACATATAATGGGGATCTCCTTAAAGATTGATGGTATGTTTGACACTGAAAGCCCCGACAGAATTGCAGACATCAGAAATATCAATTTACATACAAAATGTATGTGATGTGTGATTGTCACTAATGCGATGTGTGATTGTACTCCCTGAGCATACAATTGGAACTCAAGCCTTAGAACCAACGCTTAAACTTAACGTGGACAATAAAGTGAAGCGACAAGCGAGCATCCCCAATAGATAACTACATATTGATCCCAGAAAGCCACAATTATGGAACTAATGTTATGTATAAGTAGTAAAAAAATAATCGCAAATAGCGTATACATTAAGTTACTTCTACAACTACGGATAACTACGTAATACAAACACACACAGACACAC